ATCTGTGCCCATCTTCCTCTATTTTGTATGTGGGTCACCGCCTCAGCATGGCTGACAAGCCCGCCCGGGTCCACAGCTGGGATCTGAACCTGTGAACCTGGGCCACCAAAGTAGAGTGCACCGAACTTAACCATTACACCACGGGCTGGCCCAGCCCTCAACTCGTAATGTACACAAGAGCAAAGATTTGCCACTGAGGCCAAGGATGCAGTCCTATTGGCTCTGTCTCCTCTAGCTTCTTCACCACCAGGTGCCGGCTCCGTTCTCCTGGTCTTGCTCAGTAGCTGTGTGGACTTCGAGCTATCGCTGGGCTGCGGGAGTACGGCAGGCCCCATCTGTTGACATGGGGCCACCTAGGTCAAGCTGGAACCATGGTGCCATCAGGAAACACTGATACCCAAGTGATTTGGCCCTGGGGCTGGGGGCTACCACAGGTGGACACTCACTGGCTAATCCTCACTCACTTTCCTGTACCCCTGACTCCTCAGTCCTCACAGGATGGAGTCTGGCTGCCATTTACACATGAGAGGTAACTGAGAGGCCAATTTATGAATCATCTGCTGCTCTGCTCCTTCTCCCTGAGGGGCCTCCTACTCTCGGGAGCAAGGAATTTCCCTCCCCCCTCCTTCTCTCTCCTGGGAACACACACAGCCAGGAGCTGCTGACCCATTTGTTCTGGAGCTTGAGCTCAGCTTGCACAGGGGCCATGGGATAGGTGTCAGCCTGGCACAGGAAAGGACTGGCAGAGGTGGGCAGGGCAAGAGCCTCAGCCAGGCAGGCAAGAGCCTAGGGCAAGTTTCCAATTAGGAAACTGAGGCAGGAGCTGGATCAAGCAGAGGGAGCTGGCTCTTCCACCAGGTTTACCCAGCCCATTGGGCCAAGCACAGTAAGATTCACTCCAGCCTCTACCCCACTTAGGGGGTCCAGGCCATGGTAGGTGTCAGAGCTGGTAGTGATGGGCCAGGAAGGCACTGCCAAGCTGACCCTAGCCCAGTGAGGCTCCTGCAGTGGCTTTTCTGGAGCCACATTTTTCTGCGGCTTTCTGAGAAGGCACATTGTAATGCTTCTCAGCTGGCATTGGGGGGCCCCGGCCCCCAGAGCCCATCTCCCTCTTGGCCTGCTCTGGATCCATGTAAAACACCTTCCTGCTCTGCTCAGGTCTGTGCTCACACTTTCAGTGGCTTCTGTGGTGTCTCTCCCTGCAGAACGCTCTGGGCCTCGTAGCCCGCCTCACCCCTTTCGGCAGCCTTTTGGCCTGCCTGAGTCACAGCCCTCCCTCAGGCCCCATCTGACTCTGTTGCTGCCCCAGCTCTGGCCTGTGGCTTAATCGGAACCACAGCGAGAATGCTCATGGGTCCTGCCTGCTGAAATCCGGCGTCTTCATGGGCCGGCACCAAGCCCCACTGCAAAGCCTGTCTGGACTCCTGTTCTTCTTCCAAGGCTGTGACATGCCTCTCCCCCACTTTAGAGTCACCTGGTCGCCTCTCTCTGACCCTCAGACCTGGTGCGTGTGGCAGGAGCAGTACACCCCCCCATCTTCTTTTTTTTGGGGGGAGTGACCAGGACTCTCCAGGCTACCCTGACAGGGACGAGGAACGCAGTCTTGCCCTTCATTTATCTCTTGTGCATTTTCTTCCGTTTTTCCTGTCTCCTTTTTCCCCTTAGATTTGGAGGCTGTACCTTTGTCCCCAAAGTGCCCCTTCCACCCACCCTACGTGCCCCAGGCCTTGGTTCTAAGTGGGCCCAGAGGAAGGAGAACTGGAGATGAGACCCTGCAATGTGGTTCCTCGAAAACCTCTGCCCAGCTCTCCTGATCCCCTCCTCTGCTCCTTGAGGGGAACCACTGCTTCGCCTGGGGCTCCCCCCACACAGCCCACAGACACCCAGCCCAGCTCCCCTAACATACTTGAGCGTGTGTGTGTGTGTGTTTGTGTGTCCCAACCTCTGGAAACAAGGAGCCTCATCTTACTGTCTGCATGCTTGGTAACTGTTTGTTGATTGAACCAATGTGAGCACTCCTGGCCCCAGAAAGGGTTCTGACCCTCAGTAGCTCCTCTGATCTTATGGGCCTCCAGTGATGGTTAATTCTATATGTCAACTTGACTGGGCCATAGGGTGCCCAGATGTTTGGTCAAATATTCTGGCTACTTCTGTGAGAGTGTTTTTGCACAAGATTATTTTAATCAATAAAGCAGACTGCTCCCCATAATGTGGGTGGGCCTCATCCAGTCAGTTGAAGGCCCCAATAGAACAAAGACAGCCCCTCTCAAAGTAAGAGAGAATTGTCTAGCAGACTGCCTTCAGGCATCACCTACAACTGCCTCTCCCTGCCTGATGGCCTCTGAACTGGAACATTAGCTCTCTGTAGGTCCAGCCTGTACATGGACTTGCTAACCTCAACTGCATGAGCCAATTCTTTATTCTTTATAATAAATCTCTTTTTCCTCTATATTTATCTTATTTTATATATATAAGCCATTTCTTATTGGCTCTGTTTCTCTGGAGAACTCTAATACACCCCCAAGGGGGCTCCTTCCTCATGTGACCCTGGCCCCGCCTGGGTGAGATGAGGAGACATTTCCCCCACCAAGCCAGGAGGCGTGGAGGATGCAGAGGCTGGTGCCCCTCCCACAGCAGGGCACGCCAAGCCCAGCTTATGGTACCAGCTTCCATCCTGCCTCTAGTGACTGAGGCCAAAGGGCTGCACCCTTCCCCGGAAGCTCCTTCCCCCTCTGCTCACTGGGAGGCTCAGCGCCCCCCCCACCACCACCACCGGGCAGCCTGGCTGTTACACTGGACAACAGTTCTCTGGCCGGGGGAGGGCCTCCCTCCACATGTGGTGACATTAGAAGTCAGGGCACTGGGGCTGGAAACCAGTTTATTTAACGTAAAAGGTCAGGGAGAAAAGTGACAGCATCTGTGGGTTGGGTTAGGAATGGGAGACAGTGGACCGAGTGTGCCAGTCACCTCAGAAGTTCAACCATCTGAGGAGCCCTTGTCTTGAATGTCAAATGGTGGCGGGGAGGGGCTGGCCCCGTGGCCAAGTGTTGTTACAGTTCCATGCTCTCTACTTTGGTGGCCTGAGTTCACGGGTTCAGATCCCAGGTGCAGACCTACTCCATTCATCAGCCATGCTGTGGAGGCATCCCACATGCAAAATAGAGGAAGACTGGCACAGGTGTTGGCTCAGGGCCAATCTTCCTCACCCCCCCCCCCCCAAAAAATGTCAAATGGGGACAAGGCCTGGTTGGCAGCTAGCCCAGAAGAACCGTGTTCCCTCCCGCTGGACACTAGGGACCTTCTGGTCCTTCCCACACTGAGGAAGGAGGTGTCTCCCATGAGTGGGTTGGGCTCCCTCCTTGGCTGGGCCTTCACGGAGGGAACCTTGACCTTTGTAGTATCGAAGGGGCCAAGCCCCGAGTGAAGACCCCCAGGTCTTCTGAGCTCTGGAGGAAGGCGGCCCTGACTTGGTTTGGGGTCAGAGAATCCATCCCTCTCCTGGGCCAGGAAGCACTTGAGGACCATGGAGATTCCCACTGGGAAGTGATGTGGCCCCCTCTGACCCCAGCTGACCTGAGTTGACGAGAGCCGTGGGCGGTGGGCCACTGTGGGACACCCTGTGTGGTCTGGGGCTAGAGATGCCCAGTGTAGGAGCTCTGAGCCCAGGAGAGAAGAGAAGGTGGAGAGCAGCCTGGTGGGAGGGCCCCTGTGTGGAGAAGCAGGAGCTGGTGTACCAAACTAATGTGCAGATATAACCTGCTGAACGTGGAGGCACATGCCACCCACGTGGGATAGGCATGTAGCTCCTTTGGCATCTGAGCTCCCACTTTGGGGAAGTGAAAATTGAGGCTGTTTTGATTGAAGGTGCAGTTTCAGTACGCTCACACAAAGGAAAGAAAGTCACAAGATTTGTTCCTTATAGATCCCAGAAACAGAGCGTTGCGGGGGTGCCCAATGAGCCAGGGGAAGGGCAGTCTTCAGTCCCAGATCACAAGCGAGCAGGAGAGAGAGGAGGATAGGAAGCATCTGTTACTTACAAGGTGGTTGGGGTGGAAATCATTAACTTATCGTGGGCTCAGGTCTAAGTGGTCATTTTAAAGGGTGCCCCAGGAAAAGCAAAGAGGGCACTTGTGGCGGGCATCCTAAGCTCGGGGCCTTCTCTAAATGTCCAGACTCTAGGTGAGCAAGGTTGTCACACTGTCAAATGCCTTGGCAGCAACTCAGAATGGCTGTTTTTCTCATCACAGTCGGATACTTCAGTCCTTCTTGCCCGCCGGGGCCAGGCTTCGGGGGAGCAGCTTGGAGTGGCCAGAAGGGACCTCCGGTGGGGAGTCTAGCTTCACCTTGTCCAGGACAGTCTTCTTGATGGCAGCTGGTGAGACCTTCTCCTGGTCAGCCATGGACTGCAGCTCCCTGGGGAGGCAGTGAGGAGAGTTGGGTCCAGGGCTCTGCCTCATTCCGGAGCCCAAGTGTCCACAAGGGAAGAGGGAGTCAGGCCCACAGCTTCCAGCGCCTGCCAGCCCCCAGCGCTGCTGTGCTGTCACTCCCACCTCAGGGCCTTTGCACCTGCAATTCCCTCTGCCAGCTACCCCTCCTCTAGACTGCTGTCCAGCTCCCTCTCACTTCATTCAAATCAGTTCAGGGGTCACCAAATCTACTAGCAGCCCCCCAGACCCTGAGTCCTCATTGCCCTAAGCACAGGCCATGTCCCTCGTCTGTCTCCCCTGCAGGCTGTTGCCGGGAGGGCAGCACTGTGTCCTAGCCTCGCTGTCATGGAGTGGCACTTGGGGAAGGCTGTGGCTTTGTACTAGAGAGCAGGGTGGTGAGAAAGACGCCTGTCCATCCTGCACACTGGAACTTGGGACAGTGACTCCAAGCCAAGACACCAAACGGCGTGTCTGTCCCTGCTCTTTGGTTTTCTCTCAGCTCTCATGGAGCTTTCCTCACGCAGTGCGCTGCGACACATCTTATTTGTCTCACTTGCTTAACAGGAGGAAGGTGTTATCATCAGGCCCACAGGTTCCCAGGGGCCTGCCTCCTTGGCTTGGAAGAGCACTCGGCTCTGGGCCACAGGTGATGAAACGAGCTGGGGAGCACTGAGCAGGCCCACCGCGCAGCCCCTCCTCACAGCATGATGGAGGATGGTGAGGGGTGCTGCCAATGGGAACCCCAGGGAACCGCGGGTCTCCTGTGCCCTGCCCACTGCCAGGCCAGAGCTCGATAAACATCTGCTGAGTAAATGACTGAGCAGACATGTATGAGGCCGAGGGCTCTGGTGTGCTGGGGCAGGCAGCCAGGGAGAGGGCAGCAGCGGGGGCCCACCGAGTGCGGATGCAGGAGGCCTCCACGGCCTTGATGAGCAGCGAGCGGAAGCCCCCACTCTCCAGCACATGCAAGGCATGGATGGTGGCCCCCCCAGGAGAGCAGACGTTGTCCTTAAGCTGGCCCGGGTGCTGTTCTGAGTCCAGTAGCATCTTGGCAGCCCCCTGCAGCCAGAGAGAGGGCTTGATGGCTGTGGGGGCACCCACCTGCCTCCACAGGGCACTGCTCCCAGCCCCAGCCACCATGGCACCCACCGACTCTCTGCCCATCCACCCCTGTGCACCAGCCTTGGACCTGACAAGGAGTGCCCCACCAGAGGGTAAAGAAAAACACTGACCAGCAGAGCCTGGGCGCCAAGGTGGACTGCTAGGCGCCTTGGAAGCCCCATCTTCACGCCCCCATCAGCCAGGGCATCCAGGGCTGTGAATGCCTGTAGAGAAAAGGCACCTAAGCCACCGTCTCAGGCATTTTCTCCTTCTTATCTGGGCAACAGTTGATCCAGCACTTCTACCTGCAGCAATCCAAGGCAGAGAGGAGGGTGGAGGACAGGCAGATGTGCCCTGAGGTCCTCAGAACTGCTGCCACCCACCCACCCCCAGTACTCACATAGGCTGGGCCGCTGCCGCTGAGCCCAGTGACGGCATCAATCAGGTCCTCCTCCACCTCTGTGCAGAAGCCCACGCTGCCCATGAGCTGCTCCAGAAGCCTGCCGTCCTCTACCTGGGCATGGGTGCCTGTGGCATATACAGTGGCCCCCTCCCGAACCACGACCGGCGTGTTGGTCATGCAGCGGATGACTTTGGGGGCCGGCTGGAATGCCATCAGCTTCTAGAGGAGAAACCAGCTGTGTACCCATCCCAGCCCCTTGCCCAGCAGGGTGTGCTGGGTGTGGGTATGAATGTGCTCATCCAACTGAGCATTTCCTGAGTTCTCACTGTGGGCTTGGCCAACACACTCATTTCACAGATGGAGAAGTGAGGTGCCAAGAAGCCCAGAGCTCCTGACCACTTGGCAGTGCACATTTCCACCTCTTCTCCAAACCCCCTGGGCCCGGCCCCACGTGCCTACCTTCTCGATGGAGCTGATGGTGACGCCAGCTGCACAGGACACCACGATGTGCCGGTCCTCGATGTCGGCACCAATCTCATCCAGGATGAAGGGGATGATGTGCGGCTTCACGGCCAGGAAGAGCACGTCACTGTGCTGCACCGTCTCCTTGTTGTGGGGTGTCAGGTTCACCCCCATCTTCTGTGGGGAGCACAGAGGCAGGCTCAGCCTGCCCCCAGGGTTCCCCCGACCCCCACAAACTGAGACCTCCACACGTAGAATAGCACAGAAGCCGCTGGGATTTGGGTGTGAGTGGTCTTGTGGGTAGTGGTCTCAAGCTGGGAGCCTGCCCCCACCCTTGGGTCTGGAGCCCTAACTGCTGTGGCCAAGTGAAGCTGTATTCAGCCTCTGAGTGTGTCTTGCCTGGCCCCCACACTGTGGGCCCATCTGCCTGGCCCTCACAGCTCCCTATGGTGGCTCCACTTGGGCAACCCCATTCCAGCCCAGGACCCCCTCCCCACCATCAGCAGGGTCTTCAAGATACTCCAACCCAGGGCCCCTCCTCTCACTGAGGTGGGGGACTGTGACACAGGGCCTGCCTCTGGGACCTCTACTCCTGGTCCTCCAGGGTCAAGGCTGTCACACACTCACCCCCAGACACACTGACCCACCCCTGCAAGGACAGCCATCCCATCACCCTTCACCCTCGACCCTGCACCTACCCTGAGGGCAGAAACCATGGCCAAGTCCATGTCTGGGGAGCTGGCCATTATCTTGTGAGCGGCCAGGATGCCTGTGGGGAACAGAGTTCTTCCCTCAAGGCCAGTCTTGGTCTCCTTCTCCCACACTCCCAGGAAGGAGAGCAGAAATCCCACTCTCCAGGGTAAGACTTCAACCTCTGCAGACCCCAAATATCCCAAGGCTCCCATTTCCCACAGGACTCAAACAAGGCATGTTATCCAGACCCCCACCTTGACCCCCCAGCCTGTGGAAGGGTAAGGGGCCCACCCTCTCCCACTCGGCTCTCTTCTGGCTGCAGGGCCTACCTGCTGCTGTGAAGCCCTTGGCCAGGGCAAAGGCCAGCTGGCCAGCCCCGATGAAGCCGACGCTCATGGTGTCCAGAGGCCCGCGCCCACAGCCCTCACAGCTGGCACCGGCTCTGCAGGGCAGCTGCAGGACGAGATGGGCCAGGATCTAGCGCAAGAAGTTAGGAGGGCAGTGCAAGGCCTGACCACTCCGCCGCTGGCGGGCGGACCTCCATCCCAGCCGGTCTCATTTTCCCCTTGGCTGCTCGACGGCCGGGCCCGGTAACTGCTCCAGTCTCCCTGCCCAGAGCGGCGTCCCGACCTGCTTCCGAGGGTCCCGGACAGACGGGGCAGGGAGCTGCGCGCCGGCCTCCAGAAGGGGTCGAGGAGCTTCCGGGGGACGACCAACCACCGCCCAGAGACCCCCCCAGGCCCGAGCCTCCCCCACGCCCGGAGCCCAGTGGGTGTGGACGCGCATCTCCCCCTGCCCGGCGGCACCACCCACCTGCCCGAGCCCTGCCCCGGCGCCCCATCGCCCAGTTACCCCGCGCAGGTCGCGCTCGATCCGCAGCTCCGCGCCCGCCACGCGGCACCCGCGCCCCGCCGGCCCCGCCCTCGCCGCCCCAGCCAATTCGCGGCGCCGCCGCCCGGGCGCCGGCCAATCGGGGGGGACGCGGGCGGCGCCGACGGCCAAGCGCATCATCCGCTCGCTCCCGCCCCCGCATTCCCCGACCCGGTCTTCTGCGCGCCCCTGGCACCCGCGCCCCCGGGGCTAGACGTGGGGAGGGAGGGCGCCGAGGAAGGGAGCAGCCAGAGCGGGGTCCCCAAATAGCGGCCCTGGGCGGGAGCTCCCGCACGGGGCCCTGCCGTGGGCCACACGGACAGGAACATATCAAGCTGGCGTCCCGATCCCTGGCCGGCGCTCGCTGTGAATCCAGACCTGTTACCAATCGAGCTGGGAGGAGCCCAGCTATAGAGCATTTTTTCTTGTTAGCTTGCGTTTTTGTTTTTGTTTTTTTTTTGGAAAGGGAGTCGAAAACAATTTGCCAAATGGAAACGTTTAAAATGTATCACTATTTTGATACTGTATTTTGTCACTTGAAAATTTTTTTATTGTACCAGAAGACTGGGAAACTGGAGAGAGAGCCCAGGCCTTCTCAGAATCTCAAAATTGGGAGGCACCTGGGAAGTCCAGGTCAGTCCTCTCTGAGATCTTGACCCTCTCTTCCCATCTGGGGTTTTCTCTTCTGCAAGTCTCTTCTAGGGCTCACTCGCCTTTGAAGGTGCAGGACACTCGGAGTTAGAGGCCTGTTCCCATGTAAAGCTCCCCAAACAGGTGCTTGGGGAGGGCGGTGGTCAACTAGTAAATAGAAGATGATCCCATAGTGCCCCCCAGCTCCCACGGAGCACCCTGGTGTCTCCTGACATCTGTTCTGCAGGGTCCGTGGAGGTTTTTGGGAGAACAAGGCTCGGGTCATTGGCCCCTGAGGACGCACTCAGGGCTTGGCTGAGTTGAGTCTGCATTTGCGTTTTGGCATAGTCTGGGGTCCCAGTCAGCAGCAGGGTTAAGGGCAGAGTAAGAAGTGATCATCGTCGACAACCCATCCCCTCCCCTGGGGAAGGGGTTGTTACTGCCCAAGGTGGGGCCTTCTGGGGCCTTCTGCTCGCTACCAGAAGTGCCAATAATCAAGAGGCAAGGTGGTAGGAGAAAATGGACTTTTTATCATAGCTTGCTGGCAAGAGGGAAGATGGCCAACTCTCGTCCAAAAGAACCATCTTAAAGGGGCACAAAATCTTACAGCAGTTATATAGGCCATCGGGTTATTGGGGAGGGGGTTAGGAATGTTGACCTTCTGGTGTTATAGACTGGGAGTGCCACAACAGATCTTTCAGTTTTCACTGATGATGGCTATCAGCACAGATTCTCTGTTCAGGGGTCATCACGTTCCTAAGGAACTCAAAAAAACAAAGTTATCATCTTACCGCAGCTGGGAGGAGCATGCACAAGCAGGGGTCGTAAAATCTACAGAGCAGTTAGATCTCCTGGGGGGTGCATATCCAGCTGGGTTAGTTTGTAAGAGGTCATTCAAAGTTACAATAGAGTTTCTCTTTTATACAATATGGCTTCCCTTATGTCAACCTTGTCTTGAGCCGGTATCAGAGTGAGCTGCTTTATTTTTTCAGTTCTGTGTCTTAAATGATGACAAGCTGATCTAAAACAGAATTTCAGAATTACTCGATGCTTGTGCCACAGAAGCAGGGCTGTGAGTTCTCATTGACACAGTGACCACCACTAACACCACGAGACTACTATATAGTGATCCTGCGCACATGGCGGATTTCTGGGCTTCCACATATGTCTGTCCTGGTGTTTCGTCCTCACGCTCAGAGGGAAGGGCTGTGGTAAGTTATTATCCAAAGTGGACTGCTCAGAGGAGTGGTCCAGACTCAAACCCATAGACAAAACCCAGAGGTTCCACTACCTTTCGCCTGAATGTGCACAATCAGAGAACAGAACCCCCCTCCATTAAAAAGTACTGTTTTTCAAGTGATAACAACAAAATAACCCCCTCTTCCAAAAAGAAAAAGAGTCTTCTGGTCCCGAGAGTGAGTATCAGCAGGAACATCCCCCTGAGCCTCCGGAGGATCTCTGCCACGCCCATCATGAGCTCTGGCTCCCCTCTCTTCCTTTGTCTCCCCTTCAGGACCTTTGAAACAGGGCTCTGAGGGGCAGAAGGCCACTGGATAGTGAGGCAATTGAGGAGTTGGTGTCAGATAGGTCTTTTCAGAAGTTTGGCTAGAAAAGGAAAGAAAACTGGTGTCCAGGCCTCCCTGTGAGCTGGGAAGGGTATGGCCCATATGTTCCTTTGTCCCCTGGAAATGTGCCCCTAACCCCCACCCTCCCTCACTCAGTGGAGGCCCTCAGGATGTCTCAGGACACAGCAGCTCCTGTCCCCTTCGAGAATCTGCTGTTGCACCTGCCACACCCGCCCCTCCAGGTAAAGGAGTCCTGTGAGTGTGTCCTCCCTGGTGGGCAGGCAGGGCTGCTGGTCCCACACTCTGCACGGCCGCCAGCACAAGGGAGTTCTCAGAGCCCTGCCTAAAAAAGCCCGCCTGCCCACAGCCACGCCAGGGACCCTGGAACCCCAGCAGAGGTGTGGGGGGTGGTGAGTGCTGCGTGCCGCTGGAAGGGAGAAGGACAAGCTTGACGTCACCCCCATCTTCCTCCAGGTCTGTCTCCCACTGAGGGAGAGGACACTGCCTGCCCCTTCTTTGAGAGGTTGCCCCTCACCCCCACTGTGCCCAGGCTCCCCCACTGCCACCTCCTCCCTCAGGCAGGCCAGTCTAGGCACTTCTCCCTGGAGCACGCTGGCGGATGGCCCAGGAGGCGCCATTGGTTAACGCCCCCTCAGCAGAGACCACTCGCCAGAGCCAGGGTGTAAATCAGCATCAGCCTTTATTTCCTGCTCCAGGCTTTGGGCCGAGGGGCTGCTGTGCTTAGGCGTGGCCAGCGGACTGCTCCAGGCTGGCCCAGCCTGGGCTCTTGAGTGGGAGAAGTTGGCTGGAACGTGGAGGGCAACAGCCCCAGTGGGCCCTGGTGGTCAGAGCCAGGGAAATGGACACTTGAGCTGAGATCGTGGGCCTGCGAGCACCAAAAAGGTGCCTAGTGCCAAGGCACCATATCCCAGTGGCTGCCCCAGGCCAGCCTCCCCTGAGCCCGCAGCAGAAGCTGCTGTGTTGGGGCCAATGGTGGGGGGCCTCCCACATGGGAGGAACCCAGCTTCTTCTCAGCATGCTAGGCTCTTGGTGGTGCTGCCCGCCTCCGTGGGTCCCTCCAGGCCACCAGCACCATCTCCAGCCAGGGGAGGCTGCCCTGTGTGACCACACCACAGTCCTTGCTCTGCTTCCCACAGCTGTGGCCACTCTGAGGCGGGCGAGGCAGGGTCCCGATCCCCAGATCCTTCTCTTCGAGCTGGCACAGAACCCCCAGCAGGGCCCTGCTTGGATAGCTGTCCTTCCAGGGTTCCGGGAACCTCCCCTTCAAGTCTAGAAGTGAAGCTGGCTCCCCATGCCCCTCTACTGGCTCAGCTCTGACCCTCTGGGTTCCTTTCTGACCGCTTCCCACACCTCTGGGAATTGTCCCTTTTTCAACTGTACTTAGGTTACCCAGCCTGAACATGGTCTCTAGGCACTGATGGACACATGGGGCCACCTCCTAAATCCTAGCCTCAGTGTCCTCATCTGCAAAGTGGGTCACAACAGCACCTGTTTCAAAGACTTCACTGTGTTACAGTGATCAGCACTGAGCCAGGGAGGGCCAGGAAATGTAGAGAGATAGAGACAGAGACACAGAGAGACAGAGATGGAGAAAGAGAGAGAAGGAGGGAAAGATAGAGATAGAGATAGAAATAGAGAGACACAAAGAAAGACAGACACAGAGATAGAGAGACAGAGAGGGAGAGACAGAGAGATAGAAAGACAGAGACAGAGAGAGGGGCTAGGGCTTCTCCCCTGTGTCCTGCTCAGGGCCTCCTGCCCCTCTGTCCCTCTCTGCCCCTCCCTGGGCCGAGCTGCTGAGCGCTGCCAGAAGTCCAGGAGCTGCCCTCCCAGCTGCCTCCCTCCTGCTCACTCCCCAGGGGTCTGGGTTCACCTGGGTCACCCTCATTGGTGCTTGGAGCCCCTGGAGAGCAGAGGTGGGAGGGCTGCTGCCTGCCGGGCTACAGGGTGGGCACGAAGCGGATCCTCTGGGAGTAGGCGAGGTCGGCGACGTAGAGAAGCAGGTTGATGTAGGTGAAGGTGGCCACCACCAGCTGGCTGTCCCAGGGGCAGCTGCCCCTAGGGCAGTCGGGGGGCCGCCTGGGCTCACCGTACTTGGGGTCAAAACAGAAGACGGGCCAGATGACGGCGGCGCTGAGGTAGAGAAGCACAGCCAGGAAGGTGTACACAACCACCAGACGGTCGAAGGGGCAGCCCAGGCCCCCAGTGTGGCCCATTACGCTCAGGGCCACCACAGCCATGGTGGCCAGGAAGCACAGGCTGTAGACGGCCACACACCACTGTGTGGCCACGTAGCGCCCATATTGGCTGTCGTGGACCAGCGCCCCAAAGATGATGCAGGCCACAAAGGCCTGGACAATCTTGAGGAGCCCTGACACTGTGGCCATGTAGCTGGCCACCTGGCCCGGTCGAGCCCGGGTCAGGGCCACCTCTGCAGCATAGGCCAGGAAGAGGAGTCCGGCAAAGACGCTGGCTGCTAGGCGGAAGTCCCTGGCTGTGCAGCCAGAGGGCTCGGGTAGGCACTCCATCCGGGTGAAGTACAGTGGGTAGATGACGGCAGCCGTGGCGGACAGCAGTGTGGCCAGCATGGCAAAGGCCGCCGTAAAGTTGCCCCAGGAGAAGTGCAGGCAGCTGTGGAGCCGGGTGAACTCGCAGGCCACCACCAGGCCTGAAAGGGTGAAGCAGAAGCTCCAGGTGGCCATGCAGAAGGTGCCCTGGACGCCCGCGAAGCCGCCCCGGTGGGCCACCAGGCTGAAAGTGGTACAGCCGAAGGCCAGCTGCAGCACGCGGGCTGTGCCCACCGGGGACGTCACAGCACCCAGGTGCAGGTACCCACCCCCGGGGGGCTCCATGGTGCTGCCCATCAGGCCGGCCACGTCCTTGCTTCACACAGTGCCTGGTGGCCCTGGGGTCCCTGCCTGGCCTAGGCCCCTCGGTCTCCTGCAGCGGCAGTGGCAGGTGCTGGCAGCCTGCAGTGGCAGTGACGCCAGTGACATTGCAGCAGGGCAGCCTCTCCACTGCCTGTGTGGGGAGGGCTGAGCCCCCTCAGCACTATAAATAGGTGGCCATGATCAGAGCCCTGGAATAGCAGCCTGCATGCCTGTCCCCATTCCAGAGGGACATCTGACTCCTGCGTCCCATGCCAAGACCCTTGTAGGACCATTAACCCCTTGGCTGCTGGCACCGCCCCGCCTCTGCAGCACCTGCATCTGTCGGTCAGTGGGTGGTTGGCTCTGCTGCCGGAGGGGGAGGAGGAGGGAGTAGAGCAGAGAACAACAGGGGTTGCCACTGTCCCCCCAGCTCAAGCAGTCTCCAGGGCCAGCCTGCACTGGGGGAGGGGCACGAAGAGGTGAGGGCTGCGGTTTTCCCTTCTAGAGGGTGGCTTGGTTCAGAGCTCGGATGGTGTCAGGACCCTATTGTCATTGTCCCCGGGCAGAAACTCAGCTCTGATCCCCAGGGGGTTGGTGGGGAGGGGAGCGTGGAGGCCTCATGCAAAGGCGCCCACCCTCATTCTTCTCCCAGCCCCAGCCTGGCTGGGGTGGGTGGGAGGGGGTGAGTTCTAGTTATTATTTGGGGTATCGTTATGCTCTTTTCTTGTTCCTCCTAGACATGTAAACACCTAGGAAATAAACCTCAACTCTCCCATTTTTAGGCTGAAATATTAATAATATATGAAATGTTTTTGAAAATGAAAAAAATGTTTTTCTGACTGTAAGAGTAGTACATATTCAGGCCCAGTCAGTACAGGAAAAAATAAAGAAAAGTTGCCTGTGATTCCGTCTCCCGGATCCAACCACCGTGAACATCTTGTGTGTATACACATCCTCGTGTAGATTCTCCCAAACTTTCATTTAGAAAAATTTCAAATTTACAGAAAAGTTGCAAAGTAGCACAATGAACGCTCATATGTCTTTCACCTAGATTCAAGAATTATTAGTATTTTGCCCTATTTGTGCTCTACTCCATTAACAATTAATAATAATATTAACTAATTCTGCAGATATGACAATTCTCCTAGATGCTTCCACGGACACCTCCTGAGAACAAGGCTGTCCTCCTGCAGCCCCTGAACATGATGATCACTCTTGGCCAGTTTCAGAACGATCACCTGACACACAGTCCTTGTGCAATTTCCCCACCTCTCCCCAAAATACATTTTATAGCTTTTTACGTTTTTGCACCAGGATCTGATTGGAACTATGCCTTGCATTTGGCTATTGTCTATCTCAATTCCTTTTATTCTGGAACATTCTCTACTTTTATATATATATGTATATTTCATAACACTGATATTTTGAAGGGCCCAGGCCAGTGGTTTTACAGACACTTTCAGTGTGCATCATCTGACTGTGTCCTCATGATTAGATCCCAGCTGATGCCTTTGGCAGGAAAACCACATCGGGGATGTCGCGTCTCCTCAGCATGTCTGTGGGGAGAATTGTGACAGGATGTGTCCAGAATGAGAGATGTCTGGCCATCTGGTTGAGGTGGCATCTCAGTTAACGCCTCATGTCTCATTCCCATGCAGTCCTCCAGGGGTCTTAGCATCTGTGATGCTTCTCGTGGGCAGCATTCTCCATGAACACACACCCCTCCTTTAAAAGTAGAATTGTACTGGGGTGGGCCCGGTGGCGTAGTGGTTAAGTTCCTCACACTCCTCTTTGGCAGCCTGGGTTCATGGGTTTGGATCCCCGGCACAGACCTACACTGCTCATCAAGCCATGCTGTGGCAGTGACCCACATACAAAATAGAGGAAAATTGGCACAAATGTTAGCTCAGGGCCAATCTCCCTCACACACACACAAAAAAGTAGAATCGCATTGGTCGTCTGACCTAACATGCTTGTTTATGATGTTTCCAGAACAGTTAATATAAAATAAGGAGTTCACATTGGTTTTTAGGTCTTTAATCCTCTGAGATAGTGTCTGGACACTGCAGAGTGGGCAGGAAGGCTTTGCAAGGTAAACTTTCTGTGGATCCCCCTTTTCCCATCCCTGGGGAGCCCAGCTGGCTCACTTGCACATGCAGGAGGAAGGCTCTGTCCCCAGGCAGTGCCATGTGCGCCCTTAGGAAGGGTTCTCTGCTTCGTCCCTCCAGGCATCTGCGCAGGTGCCCCTGACCCTGGCCAAAGGATTGAGGGGAACGTGGGGCCTCACACTTGGGGGTGCAGGGAAGCTGGTTCCAGCTCCAGCTGCCTTGTGACCACAGGGAGCTGGAAGGAAATCCTCTTGCTTAGAGCAGACAATTTAGTTTTTCTCAAGCAAACATATGCCATGCTTCAACCGAAGTTCATAGCTCAGCAAATCATAACAGTGAATCCAGCCGTGTTTCTCAACCACACAAACAGTCCCTGCGGCACCATTCTCCACATCCCCAACCAAAGGGGTCTGGCTTGCAGCTCCTGAAGCCTTGGGCATTTTGGGGGACCAGGCCTTGGCACTGCCAGTGCGGCTGGATGTCCCCAGGTGCTCAGGGATGGCCAGCATACCTGCGCAGGTAGGAGGCAGCCTCCCAGGCATCTTGTGGCAGGTGTGGTGAGTGAGGCGGGCACCCACTGTGGGCTTTCTCCTACAGAAGTCGGTTCTCTTCCTGAAGATCAGACACTGCACGGACCCTGTCCTGGCCTCCATCTGCCAGCACCATAACGCCTGTCAAACAGATGAAAAATGGATCAACAACTGCTAAGAAGAGACAGGCGTGACAAGGACAGGGGGAAGCTAACCTAAGAGTGGCCAGAGTGGAGCCCAAGTAGAGCAACATCCGGGGACCGGTGCCTGTGACTGGCAGCCCCAGCCACGTGCATGGACCCTCTGCCCAGCCCCTCTCAAAGTTCACTTGGCCCTGCAGAGCATAGAGGCCTTCAGCGGGCCTGCCCAGGAGAAAGCTGTGGCCAGTGTGGCCTGGCCTGGGGGCCTGGACATGGCAGTGGATGCTGTGTTGGGGGTGGGTGTGAGCACGTGGGCACAGAGCAGGAGACCTCAAGGAGGGACAGTGAGTCTCGGATGCCAGTCACGCTGGGTGTGGTACTGGCTGCTTGAGCTCTCCAGGAAGGGAGGTGCTCACCCCTCCTTGTCATCCTTCTCCACGTGAGGAAACTGAAGCCTCCTGGTCTGAGCCTCCCAACTTCCAGCAGCCACACTGTCCCTGTGCTGGAAACTGGGCACCTCTGGGACCCTCTGGGCAGCCACCTGGCTTGGCCTTGCCAGAGGGCCATGTCCAAACCTGGGTCCTCAGTGCCTGCCCTGAGACCAGCTTTTCCTTTTCCCCTAAGTGGCTGCTGTGCCCAAGCCGCCCAGCCCCTGGGTAAAGCCCTCTCTGGCTGCCTCATCCCCCGGCTTTCCCCAGCTCCCTGTGGGTGGGGCTGGACACACTGTGAAGATGAGCAAACGAAGGGCTGAAGAGGCAGAAGAGACTGTGGGGAGGGGGTCTGCTTGCAGGCAGCCCCATTACCTGGACCCTGCCTGTTGCCCCTTCACAGTTATTATCAGCTCCTTCTCTGAAAGGGGCCTTCAGACTCTGAGAACAGACTACAACAAAATCAACTTCCTCCGCTTTGCCACTTGGGCTCCGCAGCCCCAAGTACCCACAGGGAGCCTCTGGGTCCTCACCAGGGTCTGCTTGGCTGCCCTGGGAACCGAGGCTGGCTGGGAGGCTACTTCATGGCTGCACCAGTGGCAAGGCCCCCTGGGAAATGATGTAGGACATGTTCCAGATTCCAAACACTGACTCTTCAAGTGCTTGATGACAATGTCTTCTGTTTTGAGCTTTTGCTAACTTGCCACAAAAACACAGAGGTTCTAGATCTACAGCTTCTCACAGTGTGGAAATACCAACAAAATTTTAAGTGAATTTAGTTGGAAATCACCTAAAGTTCAACAGTAGGGACTGGTTAGTCATTAGGCCCATCCATGGGATAGAGTGTTAGGCTGCCCTAAAATCGCCTTACAGAAGATCAGGGTGATGCAGCGAGTGGTCACAAGGGACCAAGACAGTCCCGCAGTGAAGCTGGGCAGCAGAGGTTCACTCTCCTGTGAGTAAAAAGATACCTGGACACATATGCTTCCAAAGATGCAGAAAGATCGGCATTAGTGCCTGAGATGTCCCCACTGTCTTCTCAAGATGTGGGATGACAGGTGCTTTTGCTGCTTCTTTGCACAGTTCAATGTTTTCCAAGTTTTCTCAAATAAATAGCTATTACTTGCTAAACTAGAAAAAAGAATAATTTAATAAATAAATGAAGTATACTTTACTACAATTTTAAAAAATAGCTAGATATATATTCTTGTATGAATAAAAAACTCACTTTTGCAAAAATTTTAAATAAACTTTACTTTTAGAACAGTTTTAGACGTACAGAGAAATAGAGCAGAGTCCCCACACACTCCACACCCAGTTTGCTTATTGTGAACATGTGACAGTGGGATGGGATATTTGTTACAATTAATGAGCCAATAGTGGTGTATCATTATTGATACATTATTATGAACTAAAGTCTAGGCTTTATTCAGTTTCCTTAGTTTTTACCCAGTGTCTTTTTTCTGCTCTGGGACCCCATCCTGGATCCCACCTGACGTTTGCTCGTCCTATCTCCTGAGGCTCCGCTGGGCTCTGACGGTCTCTCAGACTTTCCTGGTCCCAGATGACTGAGACACTTTTCGGAGTGGTGGTTGGGGACTTTGGAGACTGTCCTTCTGCTGGTATTTGTCTGATGTTTGCTCATGATGAGCCTGGGCTTGTGGGTTTGGGGGAGGAAGAGCATAGGGTCCAGTGCCTCCTCCTCACGTCCTGTCAGGGGTCCGTGCTCTCTCAGGACTAGTCTCTGTTGACGTGACCTTGGTCACCCGGCTGAGGTATGTTTGCAGGTGTCTCCCCTTGTTGTTCTTTCCCCCTTTTCCATCCTGTGCTCTTTGGGAGGACGTCACTACGTGCAGCCCACACTTATGGAGTAGAAAGTTATGCCCCTCCCTAAGGGCAGAGTATCTGCATATGTTATTTGGAATTCTGCAAGAGAGATTGGTCTTTTCTCCCCTATTTATTTATTCAATTATTTATTTATATCAGTATGGACTCGTGGACATTTATTTTATACTTTGGGTTATAAGCCAAAACTACATTTTTTTTTTTTGATGAGGAAGATTTGCCCTGAGCTAACCTGTG